TTTTCAAACACTTTTTGGCCTAAAAGTGATATCAAATTGTAATGAATTAGTGGTAAACTTGTATGAAATGGTTGTGTAAATGGTTTACATGTTTGATAATACGGACGACTCGTGCGGATCGCAAACGTATAGCAATTCTCCGCAAAACACTCGTAAACACAATGTATTCATTGTTAAGACAAACGCTGTTTAATATACTTTGCAAACAATTAATGCATTTTTTAATTGCATTGAAATCTATGGGAAAAAGAGATAATAATTGAAATGAAATGACGGCTCGTTTTAATGATTGATTGCAAACCGTATTTGCTTTTAATTGTTTGGTATTCACTCCACTCGTATTGGTTTGACATTTGGTTGCTTTGTATTTAAAATGATGAAAATGTGGTAAATTTAATGAAAATATAAATTAATTATAAATTGTGAAAACATGTGATAAAAATGTAAACAAAAACAGACGAAAACACATTTCATTTGAACAGACATTGCATTGAATGCAAAGCTCCCTCTCGTATACAATAAGTGCTGAAAGTTTGCCAAAAAAGTTTTGTAATTCACTCGAAGACAATCACTTTTGTCCTCACAATTGATTAGAAATTTCGAAATTATTTATATTATAATTTTTAAAAGATATGTAAAACTAATATGTATTAACTTTTTGACTAATTAACAAATACAGTAAATGTTCAGATATTTTTTGTCATTAAAAAAAAAGTTTTTATAAAATAGTTTTGAAACACTTTGCCATTTGTGCAAAAGTTTTGTTGAATGATGCGTAAAATATACCCTGGCACTTTTTACGATTTTCCCGGTGCTAATTATAATAAGCAAAAGTTGTATAACTGCCTGATAATCATATTATGATATCACCCATTAAACTGGTGACGAAGTTTACATATTTGATTTATTTAAAGACAATTAATGATTGACAATAAAAGACAATTTAATTGTATGTTTTGTATTTGATTCATCAAAAACGACAAATTATGTGTGCATTTTGTGATTCATTAAAAATAACTATTATTCTTAAAAATTGGTGTCAAATGTGTGAACATTTTATTTATTTTATCATTTCTTCACTGAACTGACTGTTGGGTCGGTCATAGTGTCGGCTCCGGGAGTGTCTGTGGCCTCGGCTTTGGTGTCCTTGAAGTCGCCGTTTTGTGAAATGGATTCCACTTTCTTGCGGTCTGTCATCAAAAACTCATGAGTCGTGACATTTGTAACCCTTATTCTCGATGTCCGCCGGAGTGATGGCAGCCGTCAAAGGCTTGGGTGTCAACGAATGCATCATTTATTGGTCGCACGTCTCAGAACTTAGACTTCGGGTACTTTTATGGGATCCAAAAAAGAGCTCGTATTCAACGAACAGTTAATTTTAAGTTCATATCCAAAGATCGAAAGACCAGAAGAATGGCAGTCATGTGCTGTCAAGTGATGTCCGATCGATAGTCAGATAATTAAGAGTCAAAGTGAGGGGTTGTCTGTCATTCGAGGCCACTGTTTGTGATGGAAATGGAGGCGAAGGTGAGGGACAGCGAGTGATACCTGCGGTGGGATTGAAGACATGATCTGTTGATTCTGTGACTAACCTCTGATGAGGGTCTCTGTCGGGTCATCGGTAGTCGGCGTCCAATCCGTCACTACAGGCAGTGCTGTCCCTCTCGTTGTCCAAAGAGAGTCGTAATCCTATGGTTGGTCTCCATATGAATCGGTGACACGAGTGTCGGGTCTTCGGCGGATCG